AAATAATTATTTATATAAATTAATAAAAAAGGGTCATATATATGTTTTCAATTTTAAAAAAATATTACCAAAATTAGACGTATTATACCTACTATAGAATATTGATACAAATAAGGAGCCGCATGCAAAGGCACTCTGTTAAAATGGAATGAAAATGAATGCTAGTCGAAACAAGCTGTATAAAATAATATTGTTTAGTTATATTTAAAAAAAAATGTGTTTACATGGGTCCTACACCAGGAAATTACACATGGTAATAAATTTATTTCTGTTTATTGTTCAGTAGTAATAATATTGTTAACATTATTGATTAATCATTGATGAGTTCACATTATGATACTATTTTTTTCGTTTTAGTTTTTAGATAATCCACTATTTAACGATGGCCTCTATTTAAATAAAAAATATTCAACGTAGAAATATGAAATCAAAAATAAAAACTGCCATAAAAAAAAATGCAGGAAATTCACTTTTTAATTGTACTTAAGATAAAAAAAATCAGTAAAATATTATGTTTTTTTCAAGAGTACTTGTTACAAGTAACTGTATAATTATTAAGTCTACCTTATCGTTTTTGCTTTATGTTATTGTAACCAATATGATTTATCTGTGATAGTTTAGGTTAGGTATATAGTATTAATACTTGAAGTAGAAAATCGCTCTGTATTATATTTTTTATAACTAGGTAAGTACTTAAGACAATTTGTTTGATTTTTTTTGACAGAAAAGATCGTATAATAATATGCTATACACATTTATTTTATGAAAAATAAATAAACAAGCTTTCAAACTAATAAAACATAATACTTTTTTTTGTATATATCATAACATTATGATATGCACGAGTTAAATTAGTGCAACTTACAACATAATTATTTTTTATTAGATTCTTCTATTGATCGGTAAAGAAAAAATATATATTTGAATTATACATTTCAGCGATAAAATCGTTATGAAATACAATTATCAATATTATTCAAGTATACAAATACATCGTAAATCGTAATCATATCGTGTTTAGTGATGTGTAGTAGGTCATTTTAACGCTATTTGGAATTGTTATCATGCTTCTTTTATTATGATAAAACGATTTCGTTTTATTTAAATAATCAAAAGCATGGATAGTATATTTTATATCCCTATATTCCTTTATATTATCTTATCAATAAAAGGAAATATTTATGTGTGTGTGTGAGCGATCCACAGCCAAATTTATTACACTCATTATTTCGAAACTTCATTCGTGGTAATCCTATATCCGACGATATGCACCTCAAAAACAAATTACAATTTTTTGGATTTTGAAGAACTAACACAGAGATTGGATAATTTTTGAAAAATGTTTTTTTTTATATAGGGTGGCCGTTCAATCATTGGTTACAGAATTTAAAATTGTGTATAATTTTTTACCGGAATTTTATATTTGGTTTAAATCGCCCAAATGACTGCCAAAAATGTGTGTAGTTAACATTTAACTGAGTAGAAGGGGTAAATCCATGGACATTCAATTTGTTACGGACAATGCCATGTTGCATCTACAATTACCAGTAATATAATTTTAATTTTATTAATTGTTATTTTTTTCCAATAATTACTTCTACCGTGGTTTTTCCATTGCTGCATATTATTACAACTATATGACCGTGTTTGTGCATTGAACATGCACTTACTTATAGATTTTAAAATTAAAAATATATGAATTGATCACTTCATCAGAAAAATAGTAGGTAGGTTCTATAGTTACTTTCGTGCACTTGCACGTATTTATGTTTAGATCTTAAAGTAGGTGTATAAATCGACACAGACAAACGATCTAAACCTATTTAATAATAATTAATATGCTGCCTTGATGCTTTATGGGAATTTGAGATTATTTTGTCACGATTGCTATAGCCCATCGGTATTGGTCACTTTTGATGCGCTGTGCATTTTAAAACAATAGAAATTCACAACTCAAACAAATAGAACACAGCACATCATTAAAAAACAACGAAGTATATAATATATGAAATATTTTGGTGCCTATGACATATATTGTACATCAACTGTTGTCGAATTCAATTTAAACATACAATTAAATCAATTATTATTTGAAAAAACAGATATTTGTAGGTTTTTGTAATACTGCCTCACATTCATATGAGCCTATTATATCTCTTTGTCGGTGCATCGAATGCATCATATTATTCGTTACCATGACAAATTATCAATAGGTAGGTCCTCTGATTTATGAGGAATCTTGTGTTATATTTTCAAGCATTTTGTTTCAACAGTTAAAATGTTATAACACTATTTTTAATTACAAAATAATTTACATATTTTCGTGATTTTGACGATTTTGATTGAAATTTAAAATTTAAATGTTTATAAAAAAAATCTTCAATTGTGTTTCAAGTTTTTTTACAAATCTTGTAAAAATTTTATATTTATTAATTAAAAATAATCTAAAAAAGTCAAAAATTTCTATTTCCTAATAGGCTCTGACTATAACTAGCACAAAATGAGCAAAAATATTTTGAAAATTATTTCATTAATATTAAATGTTAATAGGTGAAAATGTCGAATATGTATCAAAAATTATTCATTTTCGCATAATAACAGAAATTCAATAACAATTTTGTCGAAAATTAGTTTTACTTAAAAATTCCAGCTTTTACCTATTTTGTTTTTGTTTTTATCTGATTGTTTTGAAAACTACCTACTGGGAGTTTTTATTTCAGGCCGCCCATAATACAAACTAGATCTAATCATTGTTTTCTGATCCTAAATGTGAAGTCAGATACACAAACAATTTTTTTTTTAAAAACCCATATCATTGCTCCATTTAGAATTTAAAAAGTTAATTTTTTATTTTGTCTTGCGGAAAATCGAAATGTTACTCGTAAGTTAATTATTATAATTAATTTGGTAGTGAACATTTATACATATGTATGAAGTTCAACTATTAGTTATTTTTGTTTGTAAATGAATTTATCTTGAATATCAATCATCTCGAAATTGTAAACATCTCGAAAATAATTTTATTTTTACTGTGTAATTAGTTTTAAATCAAATTATGTAGGTATCAGATCTAAAAAATAAAAACAAAAGTAAATATTGACGGTGGGAATGAACATAATTTACCTCCTTTACCTCAGTCCTACATAATAATGTTATTTATCAATATATACATACTAGTAATGATTATACTACCTATATATATTATATATATATATATATACATATTATATATAGATAAAATTCAATATTTATTGGAGGTGAGTATCTATCAAGGCTAATTTGTTTAAATGGCTTAATCATTTCGGTAATTTAAAATTGAATAAATTAATTTTGTGAGACAATGGTGTTATATTTCAATCCATTCATAAAATACATAGGTAAACGTGTGAAAGTCTTAGCGTGCAGAATACCGAAATGTGCTTTTCTCACTTACCTTATAGATTCTAAGCGAAGCGATTGATGTATGGATTTTAGTATTTCATTGTATTTTTTAAAATGTATCTTTTTGTAGTCATCACTTTTTTGAGTAGTACAAATTCTTTGATCTGAAAGGTAGTTCTTACAGAACTCTAAAAATCTAATAATTATTTTCAACACGGTTTTTTAATAGACACTTTAAGTTCAAATTTGGATGAAATAGGATATTTCAACAATGAATTGTAGTGATTTAAGTAAATTATTGTTATTAAAAAAATATCCGAGGGGGCTTGATATTTTTAAGTATATTATTATATTTTACTATACGCAATGATATTTTCAAAATATTTAGATTAATTTTAAACCACTACCTATTTTATACAGTATTACTATTATAATTATATAATATAATAAATTACTATACCACAATATGGATATAAAACTAATTTACTAATATAGGCTTACAGACCATCTCCACTCAAAATAGTTTTTTTTTATGTAATGGTTTATCATAGTAAATTCAAATTTAATACATTTTTTAAAATTACCTAGTCAATAAACGAGCAATTGTATTGCAGATCAGTTCTATACCTCTTCACTTTTTTTTTTAAATTTTGTATATTATCATTTAATAAATGCCTATTGTACGATAGTCAAAATGTTAGTGTAGTGTTTTTAAAATATACATTTTTTGTATCTATTAATTTTTGGGGGTAAAATGAGTAATATCACGTCACGTTTGCCATGATTTCGAAAGAAAATATTGTATACTTTAAAGAGTTCATCTTTTGATGTTCTCTTCTCCCGTGTCTTAAGTCCAAGCCAAATACAAAACATCCCAAAAAATGATGGTTTTTTAAATTTAAATTTGATAGTTGTTTATTTTAAATTTAAATTTTGTTAGATATGCATTTTCTATACTTAAATAATATCAGTTATACTTGAAAAACTCTAACTACTTATGTATTAACTCTAACTACCCATGTACATTTTTTATTGTTTTTAAATTAAAGTATTAAACACAGTGGTTTGCGTGACCCAATCTCTGTACCTATGTGGTAATTTTCGTTCCGAGAATAAATACTAGCTGATCTATGAATGAATTCATTTAATACTTATAATTGAGATATTGTATTGAAGTGGATCTACTTACAAGTTCATACAATTAGAACTTCTGTGGTGTAATTATTTGAATACATTTACGACTTATTTAATACTCAACCAAAGTTGTACAACAACAAGTTATTATTGGTATATAGTATAATATTGGTTTATTATTAGTGTTCATCGAAAAAAAATATAACGACACTGAAAATTATGAAAATTATAATTAATAATTAATTTTTATTATTTTTGTAAACTATAATATTAAATGTATAATTATTCTTAAAATGAACTTAATTTTAAATTAACGAGTTGTGTATTTGATAAAATCGTGCACAATTAATGTTAAAACACTATTTAGTTTTTAATTTTCTCATAGCCTACATCAATACTCGTACAATATGCAGGGCCCAATGGAAAGAACATTTTTTCAGGTATTCTTTGAGGTAAGAACTTAAAATTAATAAAATAAAACTTACCGTCTTGAATACTGTACGCACGTCTTTGCTGCGATACAATAGAACGAGCTGAAGACGTTGACAACGGTCTCGGTCAACGCATCACGTGTGACAAAGAATTGTCGTAACCGTAAAAAAACGTCGAACCGCGAAAAAAATCTACTCACGACCGAGTGTAAATTTTTTCGATTAAAAGAATTGTATTTAATTATCGTACAATATTATGTTTGTACGGTACAGATTATTATAGCTTTTATAATATAGTATAATACATATATATTATATATATAGAAGTAGGTACTGAAACGAGCGCGAAAAAACGAAGACGAGCAAAACCGGTGCGAGCGTGCGCTTACGATTGTCTCTAGAATAATAACATAAATATATAATACGAAGCGCGTGGCGTGCTGCGGTGCGAGCGTAGACAGATATTGTATACGTCTAAGAATGAATACGACGATTATATACTGAAATATAATACAATATAAGCGTATTAAACATTTATACACCGCGATCGAAGTGCGCGAACACCGGCAATCGCGTAACTTATGGTATGTCTAATAGAATATTGTTAAAAAAATTCGCCGCTCAGGAAACGGTAGTGTTGGCTCTACAGTGTGTTTGCAGGTCGCCCGCGGATGATAATTTGATAGCAATAAAATATTGTGACTATATATATATATATATATATATGTATATACAATTAAGGTAACTGGGTAGGTAGAGGTAGGTAGTGTCTACTACCTAGTGATATATATATTTCGTACTCGGCCGCGGCGGGAGTGGGATAATCTCTCGACCGCGACGGACGCTAAACATAATATATGATATACAAGGTGGTTCCATTAATGGTAGTAAACACTAATTTTCCCGAAAAAAAAGTTTTGGAAATTAAGTTATTTGTCACGATAAAAATAACATTTAAGAATAAAAATACTATTTTTTATAATTTTTTTCTTTTATGTTCATACGTTTATAATTTTGTGAGATTTATCTTTATAAGCTGAAATTTCAATACGATATGATATAAAAATCGAATTTTGAACCAGCAGTTATACCCTACAAATTATAATAATATAATAATTAGTCATAATTGTTAACGTATAAATAACAGTAGACCTATACATTTAGTGATAAATAATATGCACGCTGTTAATCGTAAAAGAAATACAATTTAAAAATGCAATAAAAAGGTATAAAGTAAAACGAAAAATTTAATAATTTTTTTCAAAAACACTGTTGTACAATGACTTAAGGACTGTGTACCTATACTAAAAAATAAAAATCTCAAAAATGTTAATAATTTTCGAAACGATGAGTGCTTACATTAAAATTTATCATCCTGTACATAATATAATCTGTATGTGTGTACACCGTACTAATATTCAAATAATAATACTTATAATATTGTGAGCGGACCTTGAGATCACGCATCCAACTATGTGGTGGGGAGGAGATCACCGGTTTTTTCCTTATTTTCGGTAGAAATTTTCGACACACACACACACCTCGCGGGGTTCTGCTGTCGGCGGTTTTTTTTCCCGTGCAAGTCACAACTTGTTTTGTCGACTTTTTTTCGCCAGTCACATGGGTGTGCTGTTAATTTGAAAAAAATTCCGACCACACACCGTTTTTGTATTGTGTTCGATTGACTTGAACAATTTGTCGTATACGGTACGACCGCGTGACTATATTATCACAATTTTTTTCATAGTGGCGAATCGTAATGATAGCGTAATGAACGCGACGTATATAATTTTATGATGAGTTGCGTTTTTTACACCTCGAAATATCGTCGCCAATCCTCGTATACCAAATTTAACCACGGGAAATATAACACCAGTAGACTTGATGTCTGCACGCGATCCGATGCGACGGAGAATTAAAAAATAACTATAAATTAGTATAATAATAATAATATAGCGAAAGTCTGCAAACAGAAAACTTCATATTTACTAATAATTCGGTTACTATTCGACAAGTGCAAAATGCATGTTTGTAGCACTCACTTTTGTGACACAATTATTAATTATTTGCTTTATCGTAGGCAGTTTCAGTATTAAAGATTCGTTTGCCTGAAAAAAAAAAAGTGGTAAACAGAAAATTAATAATTTACACACCGAACGGCGTGCGTGTATGGTGGAGGAGAGGTGTTAAACTCCTCTCGAATTTTTACTAGAACGGTGAAAACTGAAAACATATATATTATTACAGTAGTCATATAAAACGTAGAGTTATAATAATTATATTATAATGATGCCCTCACGAAATTCCCTATCATATCATCTACTGCAGCCATCTTCATTTATTTCAACTCTATTAATCCTTGCGAGTGTTGAAGTGCACGTGGTTGATAGGCCTAGGTATATTTTATACCTAGTTGAAATACGTGCCATATAAGTTAAAAAAAACGTGTAAATCATACGATTGAACTCGCTTGACTAAAATAGTCATTTTTATAAATATAATACCTATGCCGGGTCATTGCTTTTTTAGTTTGTTTGCACGTTTCGCAAGTACCGTATATTTTGTGTTCGGTTGACGCGTACCTAAATCAACAAAACGCTATATGGTAGAAACATATATATAAATATTATACCGGGTGAATCATTCAACGTAAGTCACTCATTATTCCAAAAGTATTTATGTTTTTTAAAACATTTTTTTTCATGGCTCCAATAATCGTTACACAACATTTAAGAACGTTTTTAAAAATACAATTCAATTTTTAAATATTTTTTTACTTATAATTTTTTAATTCTTTCTATTTTTAATTATGACATACACTTCAATTTGATCTTAAAAAACAAAAATTTTCTGAGGATTTCCATATTTAAAATTCGAATTTTTGACTAGTATTTTTTGCGTTAAAATTATTTTTAAGTGTTGGTGAGCGGAGTGGAGTGGCACGTGTTTACCCCGCAAAATGTTGGTCTACTACTCCACTCATCAACCTTTACACTTTAAATACTTATAACTCGTAAGCTACTAATTGTCCTGAATTCGATGTTTATGTATTGAAATACTTATAAAAATATTCTACTTAGGAGTATGAATTTTAAATTTTAGAACTGTATCTTGTCATACAAAAGAGTAAAACTAATGTTGAGGATGAAAAATATTAAAATATATGTATATTTTTTAAAGTCTAAACACCATATACATTTTTTTTTTTAAAAACATTTATACTTTTTTGAAATAATGAGTACTTAATGGTAAAAGAATCACCGCATCACTCGTATATTTAACATTTCATACACTCAATTATATTAAAAATTTAAAAGCGTTAATGTTTAAAAAATGATAAATCGTGATGTATGAAATTTTAGTAAGCTTATTATTTTATTGAAAAAACCCTATACTATTGTTAGTTTAACGACGACAAGTGTATGCGGAAATGAAATTGACGACAATTATATCATGAAGGTAAACGGAATACAATTATGCTCAATGTTAAATGATTCCGCAAATGCGAAACACATAAAATCTATGCAATTTGCATGTATCATTGTCAAGTCTTGTGTAACCCATCATTTTAATAACTTATATTGGTACACGCGGTGCCGGTAGTACATAGGCAGTATAGGCACCCACACGGACACAAAATATAACAGCTTGACGACGACTCCGGATTGAGGAACTAATGATTTTGATAATTTTTGCTTATACATTTGAATTATAAGCTAACTGATGTTATTAGATTGAGCTGTTTTATAATATTCGCAGGAAACAAACGCGTGGTTTTATAATATAGTCAAGTTCACGCATTCGATCAATGTGTTTTTTTGATTTTAAGGTATGCGCGTAAATACTTAAAATGTATAATTTGTTATGTACATTTTATTTCAGAAAGACAATTTTGTATCTGCATATAATTACACTGTGGCACGTGATCAATTTTCGCTTGCTAAACGTAAACATTACCTATTTAATAAATTTATGTTAATATATCATCGTATAATATGCATGTCTCTAGACAATATTATGTATGTCGTTTCTCAAGGTCACGCACTGTTTTATTTGGAAAACAATATTATATTTTTTTACTGTATGAAATCTATGAACTACGAACTATAAACATAATGAGTTCGAGTTAAAACATTTACTTTTAATTCATAAACTTATCTTAAATGATTTAACCTTTTGCTGCGGGAATTCGTTTTAATGCAATATTTTTCTGCATAAAAACTTGTTAACTGTAAAATATATCGTTAGGAAATATTTTATTTCTAAATTAGTTCCTTCCACAAAGAACAATTTCGTTTTTATCGTAAACTTATTGTGATTTGACAAAAATAATAAATTATTATTATTAATCATCAAACATCGTGATTATCAAACGTTTTATTATTTTTAATTATGGTTATATATACTTCGGTAGAATCAAATATAAACGACATGCGTATAATATTTAGTTCGACTTAATTTGAGTGCACTGATCCATACGTTATGGTTCAATTAATTAATTATTTATTTTGTCAACACTGCGCAGTTACCTAATGCTGATAAAAATATATTATCCATATTTTATACTTGTATAATAACTAATAAGTTGTTCTGATTTCGACAGCATTGTGGGAGCAGTTATGTAAAATAGAAGTTAACTTTAGGAAGACTTATGAAAAATAAAACATTATGTAGTATTATGTAAAATACTAAAATTAAAACTAGAAATCTACACTTTTGGAAAAACAGTTTGTAAGGAGAGAGAGAGAGTTTAACAATTAAGGCCGCATATATTTCACACGGGTAAAAGAATATTATTTTATTATCAATTTGGATATATCTGTTTGATACATAAAATAATGTATATTTTTGCTCTAATTAAAAAATATATTGTATAATTTACAATGTACAACATTGTTTGATCTATGTGCTACTTTATTTAAGTATATATTAAACGATTAAATATACAATCAACAATTATTATTCATTGTATAATAAACATTACATAGAAATTCTAAGTGTTAGCTATTATCTACCTTCTTTATAAATTTAACAAAGTGTATTAATAATCTTAAGGTGGGTCATTTAACACAGTTGAATAAATTAATATATTGGTTTATGTTAGCTCAAATAGCCAGTAGGTATATATATATCGATATTCAGTTTATTGTAAGTTAATTTTTATTCATAGCAAGTCATTAAAGGGTATAAATTGAGGTGGTGTTGTTGATTCGGTATGATAAATAATTGTATTCGTGTAAGAAGGCTATTGATTGAACAATGTTGGTTCTTCATTCTCATTGAATGCTTGATTATTGTTTGTTTTATATTTAGGTGTATTTATAATTATAATCGAACATGTCCTGACTGACTGATCAACGTAGAGCACTAGCTAGAGCCTATAAATTATGATAGCTAGAAATTTTTAAATTTTCATGGTACTCCCGATTTTTTACCAGCATAAAAGGGTGTACTAAGAAAGAATTGTCTAGGGAGAGGATTTTGAGATTCATTATGAAAATCTAATTTTTTTTATCTATATGGTTGCCATTGGTTACTTTGGGCAATTAGA